GTCTGGCCACCAAGTCTGGCCACCACCAAGTCCGGCCACCAAAGTCCAGCCACCAAGTCCGGCCACCAAAGTCTGGCCACCAAGTCCGGCCACCATAGTCTGGCCACCAAAGTCTGGCCACCAAGTCCGGCCACCATAGTCCGGCCACCACCAAGTCCGGCTGGGGAAGGAGGGAGGGAGGGAAGCAGGTAGGCCAGGGGGCAGGTGGGGCTCTGGGCAGGTAGCAGAAGACACTGAGAAGTGAGCCAGAAAGTTCTCTCAGAGCCCCCCACCTGCCAGCAGGCCTGAAAGCCGGGCTGAGGCACGAGGTGGCTGCTGGGGAGCTCAGGGACAGAGGGACTCAGTCCGTCCACACTTCCCGCCTCTGGACCCTGGCGGGTGTGCTGGTGGCAGAGCCCGTGGGTCTGCGGGGACGTAGCGGCTCAGCCCCTGCCCACGCGGTGTGCCGAGTGCCCGTACCTTGACCTGGCGGGGGGGTGCAAAGGGTAGCGGTGAGCGGGGGCCTCGGGACACGAGGGGGCTGGCGTCTCCGGCAGGGGCTCCCGAGAGCTGCAACGTAGGAGCCCGTTGTGGGGGCCCCCGCGCAGCAGGTCGGGGGGGCCCGCGGCCTGCCTGAGGCCCAGCTGACATGGGACACCGCGTAGCAGCAGAGGCCGCGAGGCCAGAAGCAAGCAAAGAGCAGGCTGCACGAGGACAGCTCAGCGGAGGCGGCCCAGGGTGGCCGAGGGGGAAGGAGGCCTTTATTTCACCCACATGGCGTGGGTGGGTCTGTCCCTCCAGCCTCGGCCAGCCAGGCTGGGCTTGTGCCCGAGCTGGCTCGGTCGAGTTAGAGACACAGTCAGCAAGGTACATTCTGCACTGTGCTAAGGGGGCCAGAAGTTCCCGACCCCTTACCTGGACCTTACTTGTAGGCTTTCTGCCATGACCGCGAGCCACTTCCATAGGGAGAAAAAAAGAAAAGCAGTTGTGAAAACCGGGGCCAAAGAGAAGCCAGTCTGACCAGGACATTCTGGGGAAGGGACAACCTGGGGACCGACCGGGAGAGGGCCAGTGGCCGCCGGGGGCAGGGGCGGGGTGACCGGGCGGGCACGGGAGCCCCAGGGCAGGGAGCGACCCCGTCAGACCGTCGGGGTGGTCACCCGCCACCACACGTCCCCCCAAACCGGCAGAGCGTGCGAGCCCGGGAGGAGACTTCCGTGAGCCGGGGACTCGGGTCGGTAGTGAGACACCGGTGCCGGCTCTTCTGGGCGACAGACGCATCACGCTCGAGCTAGATGTGTGTGCAATGGGCCGAGGCGGGCAGTGCGTAGAACTGTCCCCTTTCTACTCCGTTCTCCGTAAAGCTAACACTCCTCTAAAAGGCAGAGGCCATTAACTTAAAGCTGAATATATATGTCGCGCTTTTACAGGTTGCCAAGACGACGGGGGAAGCCAGTGCGAGGCCGGGGCCGGGCGGGGTGACGGGCCTCCTCGAACAGGGGACGGGCTTCGGGCCTGCCTCTCCCCCCGCTGCCTGAGCCCGTCCTCCTCCCATCTACACCCCTCCCTGGGCTCGTGGAGCACCTCACCTCCGCCAAAGACCCCGCCAGAGCCCCCGCCCCAGCTCCAAACTCTGTAACATCCTTGGTCTGCTCTCCGACTGGCACCAGAGCGCCACTTACTTCCCCGAGCCACGCACCCCACCGCAGGGATGGCCGTTCAGGCTGCCTCCTCCCTGGCGACCCTCGCCCCTCACCCCTACATCCCCGGCCCACCCGACACCTGCACCTGACAGTCTGCGCCCCGCCCCCAAAGTCCGCCGTCCAGCCTGGCTCTGCTCAAACCTCCCCGTCCTCTGGGTACAAGCCTCACACAGCCCTTCTCCTGTCTCAGCCCCGGCCAGCCCCTCCCAGCCCTTCCTTCTGGAAGCACGCCTCTGGGCCGCCCCAGGGGCTGTTCCCTCTGCGCTTCCTCAGATATCCCCGTGGCTCCCCTGCTCCTTCCAGAGGACACCCACCCTGACTACTCACCCCTGCTCCTTCCGTGGCTTCCCCTGTGACTTACAGCCCCTCCTAACACATTTATTCCCTACTGTCTGGATTTGTGTTGTTTATGGCTCCCCCCACGCCCCTGGAACGTAAGCGCCGAGGATCTTCCACACTTCTGTTTACTGATGCTTCCCCGAGCACCTGACAACGTGCCTGGCACACCAGAAACCCTGTTGTTCCAGAAATATCCGTGGGATGAACGCAGGAAGCCCCCAAAGGGTGCATCAGGGGGACTGTACCTTCACGTTAATTGTAGGGGAAACCAGGGTGGATATTTCTCTCTGCATCCGGAACCGCAGGCCGGAACAGGAGCCGGTACCTCCAGACAAGACAATGTGGCCGAAGAGAATCTTCCAGAGGGCGGGGCTGCAGGAGCTGATGCTCTGGAAGGCCTTCATATGGATGCCCAGGTCGTTTCTCCCTGTCGGGACGGGCGGAAAGAGACAGAAGTTTGGGGGCCAGAGACTCGGCCGGCTTCACGCTTGGGATCTCTCCTCCCAGCTGCAAGCACGGGGG